TTCTAGATATTCAAAATGCCTTCCAGTTCTAGTTTATTGATCTTTCAAAGGGTCTACTTACATTATAATGTCATTATCATTATATTACTTGAAGATAGTTTCCAAATAACAATATTATTGTTTATCGCAATATTACTGGGACAATTTATCATGCAGGCAAAATTTGATTTTGTGACTTTGGTTTATTTATACACAGTTATTGAAACCTGGAAACATCTTTGCATCAAATCTGAGGTAAATCAAATTTCATACTATTCTTCCAGCGAAACTAATGAGGAGAAACTAATGGAAAACAGCAAACCTCAGACAGAAATGCTCCTGCTCTCTTACTGCAAACATTTGCTCCATTAACTTCCATTAACCAGAACATCCACAGTGAATAAACTAGATCATATTTTCAGATACACTTTTCTAAAACTTCTGATTATCTAACAACAGATGTTAAAGCAAGAGACAGGTGGACATAAACCACAAGTAAACTGGCTAAAATAGAAAAAGAGGAGAGCCTGGACTGCAGAAAGAAAAACTGCAAGAAAAAAAAAAAAGTAGATGTGAAGGAAGTCAGAAAGTAGAAAAGGGCAGAAAATAAGTGTGCAGGGAATGAAAGCCAGCCTGCAGCGCAGACAGACTAACAACTGAGCTGGAAGGTCACCGAGTTCCTGCAGAGCAGAGCAGAGCAGAAGAGAAAAAAGGAGGACTTTTGATAAACACAACCGTCTCTTTGGATTTCAGACCACCTCTTCTCCATAATCTAACAAACCTTTGAGTCATATTAAAAAGAGGAGCTAAGGTGAGGTTAAAAAGGTTGGAAGACAGAGATTAGGATGTTAGTAATGTCTGAAGTGCTTCTTATTTACACACCTAAAAGGGCTGAAGTACAAACTGTTTCACTGTTATATTTCTAGGAAAAGCACGAGCAATTATTTAATGAATCTCTGTTGTGAGCAGCAGGTGGACTCCGTTTCATCAAAGTACACCACACTGGCATCATTTTGTTTTCATTAACAGCTGGGATCAAGATCATTAATGTGAATCTGAGTCTGCTGCCAAAGTTACATCTAGTTTTATCATCCGAGCAGCTGATTCTGAGGAGCAACACCAGCCAGCATGTAAACCAGACGGCCGCAGCTGTTCAGGCTTCAAAGTGACTAAGATCAAGAAAATCTCCTGTTGATTCGACTTAAACCGGCTTACTCACGTTTTAGTGACTTTTATTGGACTCAAACCAAATGCTCGCATGGATTTGTTTAAACAAAATCCTTCTTACTGACCTTGCACTCTCCGTTTACACAAACATCCAGAGAGTCGTCTCGGCACGGCGTGCCGTCCACCACGGCGGGAGCTCGCTCCGTGTAGAAGTTGTATCCTTCGGCGAGGCAGTTGAGAGAGCAGGGCTTCACCCCACCTGGACAACGCCGCACAACGCAACAGAACCAGCACACAAAGCATTAATGCACATAGAAGACAGAGAAGACACGCTTAGGAGAGGTTCTGTTTGTTGTTTCAGGAAATTCTGAGTGGAAATGAAACAGACATCATCAATATTGAAGGAAAATGAAACTAAAATTGATTAAAAACAGGATGTCAAAAATTATTTCTACCCTTTTCTATAGATTCTTAACTGCTGTCCAACGTTCTGCATGATTCCTATGGTATTTAGATGATTTCTCTCTGGTGATCAGCTCCCTAATCTTTAGCTACTCCTACAGTTTCTCTAGATGTTTATTTTATTTCCACTCTAAAGAAACATGTGGCTTAATTGGCTCTTTGGACCTTACACAAGGTTTAAATGTAACTGGCTTAAAATGTTAAAGAATCAACTCATGTTTTAAATACAAATAAATAAATGCTGGTATTTTATGTAATACATTGACTTTCCATGACAAAATGACACTAAAAACACTAATATTGTTTCCGATTTTTTAAAAGTTGGAAATTATATACTTTTTTGTTTTCCATAAATGCAAACATCCCATATAAGGAAATGCGTCCATCTTTTCTGAAAAATGTTTTTCTTCATTCTGAAATCTAAAAACAGAAATAAGATGGGGTTCTGTAAACCAGCCTGGGTTGCTAGGTGATGGGCGGAGCTCTGCCGAGGTTGCTAGGTAACAGGCTGGGCTTTCCAGGTGACGTTACATTCCAGAGGTTTTTGAATCGGATAATTTTCCAGAGACCAATAAACACAAATGTATTGCCAAAAACTATCTGGGTCGTGTTTGTTTAAGCGCTTTGGTTGTTTTTAGAAGCGGCAGAGACCCAAGTAAAAGTGCAAAGAAGTAAATTTTGCATTATACATCCCCTTTAAAGTATATTTGACATTTCAACTATGAAAAAAGCCAGGTACAAGGGTATTAAGATGGGGACTTAACTATTTGCGGATTCTAGAAATTTACCACTGCACCTCTGAATGCTACAATTCAGCAGTTAGGTAGCAGTTTCCCCGACACTTCTTTGGGATAAATGTCATCTTTACCCATAGGGTCAGTATTTAGCAGTTTGGAGTGGTAGAGGGAAGTACTGAGTGGCCAATAAATGTAACAAAATATCTTATTACGAAAACACAAGCTCATTCAAAACAGTGTTTCAACAAATCTTCATTCATGTGTGAAACAGATCAACAGTTTCTTATTAGAGCAAATGCTGACATCATCCCATGTTTGTTTGTGCTGGCAGTCACAGGCTGTGCTAGCAAGAGAAAGAGAGAATGTACCGGTCAAACTCACAGACAATAAATTGTTCGGACTACGGAAAACTACAACTCCCGTGGTGCCGAGTTTTGGCAGGATATTTGTAGCTTTCAGGTGTGCAGTGTGAAGGTTGAACGTGAAGACTGCTGGACTAAAAACATTGACATAGGACAGCTTGTTTCAAGAAAAACAAAAAAACAGTGAGGTTTTTCCTTTAATAAATGAGCTGTCCTTGGCTGTCTGAACTGACAGAGATGGCCTGTTTCTGTTTTCCATGTCAGGATAGAAGCAAGAAGAAATCGCATGAAGCTAAACTAAATAAATTTAGAGATGGAAAGAATGGGGAAATGAAGGAAAAAAAGACGAGCGATATCCATGTAAAAGGAGGAAAAGCACAATTGGAAGTCTGACCACGGAAGAGATGGAGAGCTGCTGTTTGACTTTAACAAGGAAAAGAGAAATTGGCACTTTTCCCATTTTAGCAGCTGCAAGGGATTTTTCTTGGAAAATCAGCTGACTTGATGAAAAGACCACTTGTTGCCTGGTGTTGGAATTGTTTCGCCGACTATCTCTGCAAGCCATTATGTTCGAAATTAAAGCAGTCAAACTATTTATCTTTCGCGTCCAGTTTTCGCTGTTCGGCATTTAGCAGAAATGAGAAATTCCTGCAGAGAACTTCGGGTGCAGCCAGCATCTGCACACCAGACAAGAGGGACAGTCTGCAGCTTCAACACACACAAGCCGCTTCAATTCAGTTTATTTATAAAGTGCAGAATTTACAACATCTCAAAAGGCTTAGATTGAGTGAATCCAATTCAATATGTACCGACCTAAATCCAATTTCTACTGCAGCACCAGCGATGCTAAGAAGGAAGTCGTAAAGTCTCCAAGGTCTGTGATCCTCATAAAATATAAACAATCATACCAAACTATGAGTAATGAATTACGACTGCTGGCAGAAGGAGAATCAGTCCCATCTGGGACGACTTTCACTCAGTTCTTTTAATTTGACTTAAGAAAATCAATTTAGACACAAAGCCATTTTATTTAATAGCTGAACAGTCTGGCGTTGTAAAATGTGCTTAGAAAACGAAGTTGCTACAATTACTGACATCTTTTACTTTCAGATCAAGAAAGGCGGGTCAGCGTAAAAAAGAACCTTGCAGCTTCTCTGCACCTCATTTAATGTGTTTAGTGTGTAATTTTTTGAGGTTTGGTTATTTCTGAAAGAAAACTTATTATCCTAATTAAACATTTTGAACGCTCTTTTACTTCCATTTGGGTCTCAACTGCTTGTAAAAGCAGCCGAAGCACTTAGGAAAAAAAAAAAAAACACCCAGTTGTTTTCTGGCATTAATGTAATGTTGTTTTGGTTTCTGGAAAACAAACCGTTTCAAAAAGTCACAGTCTACGGGACTGCGCTGTTACCTAGCAACCCCAGCAGAGCCCAGCCCCGTTACCTAGCAACCCAAGGGGAGCTCCAGCAGTTTGGTCAGCTGGTGGAAAAAATGAGGAGAGGAAACAAAACTGTTGCATTAACAGATTTCAGTCTCTCTGATTGGTTGATGCGCCACATCAAGCGGCGAAAGTTCAGATTTTCCAACTCCAGCGTCTGACGCGTTGAATGCTCAAAATGCTTCGATCGTGCAGCGCCAGACACACAAAACGCGCCGCGACACACATCCATAGACTCTGAATGTAAACCAGATGCTCCTGACGCTCAGATCACGTTTGCTGTGAACGCACCATAAGTGTGTTAAATGTATTCAGAGTTAGCAAAGCTGTTAAAAAGCTAAGCAAAAAATTAGCTCTGCTATTAGCATATTAGCGTATTAGTGGAAGTGTGCCCGCCACTGCATTTCACAATCATGCACAATTTTGAGTTGGTAACAAAATACGTTGAAGTTTGTAATTGTAACATGAGAAAATGTGGAAAAGTTAACAGAAGCAGTGAGGCAGAGGACAATAGCAGCTAAAACGATGGACATATAAATGCTAACACTAAGTTTCAGCAAATAGTAAATAACACATTCACCTCCTCTGTACGGTTTCCAGGTGTAAAACTTTCCCCTGAAAGGAGTGCTATCAAAGTCAGAGCACTGGATCTCTCTGAAGTCCCTGCAGCCTGCAGGACACTCCTGCATTGGACACAAATGGACAAATTCTTCTTCATACATGTAGATTTTCTCTGCATTCACACACTACATGCAAGCCAAGAATCACAAACAATATTCATAGTATAGATGAATGAGTGCAGACGAATTGATCGCAAAGACTGAGCAAAACTCACATCAATATTGCAGGACCTGAAGCGTTTTCTTTCTCCCAGACAGTATTTTCCTCCGATGGTTGGCCTGCAGTCAAAAACAGCAGGATCAGTCCTCCATTACATCAGCACACATACCGACGTCAAAGCTCAGTTGTTTCATGGCTCCATTCTTATCTTTAGCTGCACTGATTGGACTTTATTTTAGTTACATCGATTTCACAACAAGACAACTTTTAAAAATACATCTGTTTGGTGTGTAGCTGGCAGCTTTCTCAATATTTACATCACTTTTCTGCTGAGTAAAACCAAAGCAAATGTGGAAAATAATAGTCTGAAATGAAATAGGAGAAAATCGTTGGCCCCAGATTTGGGTCAGACCATTCCCCTCTTTAATAATTTCAAGATGAGCTATCTGCTGACAGCGATTCAAAATATTATACATTCTGCAATGATTTGGACTTCACTGCTGCAGAGTGAGAAGAACTTTAATTTAAATAATTGCCCTCTTCATGGAACGACTAAGAGGAAAAATATATACATATGCAGTGTAAAAGTTTGACAAACACCATTCAGAGTGAGGGTCTGATGTCAGAGGCGGTCTCTCTGGGAAAGAGGTTTAATTATCTCTGGGTCTAATGACTGGGGCCAGAAGATGGACAACAAAGCTCTCAATCTACTGGCCTTTTAACTCAACCATGATCATGAGATGTAGATCATGAACCAGATTTGAGGAAACAAACAGCTGAAATCAGCTTCTCTGAGAGAACAGCTGGGTCAAAACAAAAGAGCTAAAGAAAGGAGATTCGTTTTCTGGCAGTTTGGAGTCGAGGAACCAAGAATCAAAAAGAGTCAGAACCCAGATCACCCTGAATCAGACGTGATCAAACGCTCTGAACATCAGCAGGCGGACGGATGTTTGCTTCTGTCAGTCAGTCTTCCATTCCTCTAAGCTTTAATTGTTACATTTTGTGTTTTTTAATCTCGTTTTTTTTGCTTGCTTTCCGTTTCCTTATTTCCAGCGTTCTTCTCGTCTATTTTATTCCCTCCTACCGCATCATATTTCTCTGCAGCTTCCTCATATCGTATCCACCACAGTTTCAATTTCTTTGTAGTCTCAAAAACTTTACAATCAAGTCTTTGATTAGCTTGTTTTGAGTTTCTGTCGCATCAGAATAATTTACACGTTTTTTGTTTTTGTTACAGTGTGGATCAATGTAGGCGGTACCTGGGGCTGTCGCAGTGTCTGACGGAGGAGGAGACTCCACCTCCACAGGTCCTGCTGCACTCCCCCCAGGCGGACCACAGACCCCAGCCTCCATCCACCCCCTCTGGACGAGTCCCATATGCAACACACACCCGTTTGAAGCACCACTGCAGCACACACACAGATTAAAAAATTATAAAACATAAATACACAGTTGTGCATTTACAAACACTCATCAGGTATTCTTGCATTATTATGCCATTACCATTGCATTAGTTGAAAATGGTCTTAAAACAACAATATTATCATTTACTCTATTAACTTCTGAAATAATTCATTGTCCAGTAAAATTTGGATTATTATTTTCAGAGCTCACCCCTTTCTCTATGGTGTTAGTCTGACAGATGGTTCCCTCTGCTGCAGGTATACTGCTGGTGATGCAGCGGTTGCTCTTACTCATGCACCAAAGTTCGCTGCAGACTTCCTGTATGCGTCAGAGAGAGAAAAATAAAACCATCGGAGAAACCGATGGACACAAGAGAGAGAATACGAGAAATATTATTGGTCTTATTTATGATCAACAGGCACAAACTGTCATTCACCTTCACCTCTTTTCCCTCCAGAGCCGTCAACACTTTAGGGTAATGTTTTATTGTGTACATACGCTGACTACATAGTATCTATAATAATGAGTCTATAAAGCCGCACGCTGTTCCAGATGTCCGTTCGCTCTGAAGGCGGCCTCGTAAAATCCTGACCATGCAATAAAAGGAACGCTGTCCTGTGAAAGTATTGCAAGATGTGTTATGCATTACAGATTTGAAGATGAGAGTCCGAGCAACATGAATCAAGAGCGAGAAGCTGAGCTGAATCATTTTTTTTTAGTTCATTTTAATAAACAGCTAAAGAGAAGATGACATAAAAACAAGAGTTTATGCAAAAACATACCACTAAATCAAAATGTCATCAGAAAAGTAGTTTATTTTAGGAAGTAAAAGAAAACAGACACCCATACACACTTACATAAGTTTAATGCACACAGATTGATATATACTAAATTTATAAAATACATTTTTCAACTATAAAACTATTGAAAACAAATGATCTGCTCCAGAAATTAGGAAAATAACTAAAAATCAACTTACTATGCTTACTTGGACATATTAGGATTTGTCTATGTTTTTCACAAAATCCCTCATAGATAATGAGCCTTGTCAGCTTACGGGCGCCTTGTCACTTTAAGTCCAAATAAGTTGCTGCAGGCCATGTCCATTACACCCATCAAAATGACTGCAAACAGATGCTTAATTATACAACTGCACATCTTTGAAAAGGAGAAGTGGAGCCTCCTGCTCAACCAACAAGAATGCAGCAAGGGTGGCAAGTCAACAACAAAACACTTTAAAACAAAACGCTTCATCTTTTCCAGCAGCCATTGTACATCCCTATACAGCTTGAGTTGCTAGGTGCAGAGTGACTCAACAATAAAAAGGTTTATTTTCCAGACACCAAAATAGCATTAAGTTATTTCCAAACAACAGCTGGGCGACATTTTTAAGCAATTGGATTGTTTTCAGGAGCAGTAGAAACCAAAATATAAATATAAAAATGCTAAAAATTTGAATTTTGCATAACAGATCCCCTTTAAGATCAATATGACGGCCAACACAGCCAGGGGCCGGACTGCGGATTTGTCCAGTGGAAGGTCATTGACACCCTCAACAAGTAAGGCAAGCCACAAAAAAAATATTTCTGAAGAGGATTGGTTTATCCAAAACTCTGGTATAGAAAGGATAAAGAAATTACTGGGATAACGGAAGCCTTGAGAGTGTTACGAGGAAGGGCGTTTAGGGGAGATTTAGAAGGCGTTAACTGCAGCTGGAGTAGTGATCTGGTGTTTTATGAAGTCCAAAGTCAGACCAGCTGTCTACTGACTTAAAGTATGTGAGTAAACTAGAGCTGCAACTAAACTGCTTTAGTCATCGAATATTCTGACAATCGGATAAAAAAAATTGGAACATTTCGTAGATTTTTCATTTAACCACTTAAGCCTTTTCATACAATATTACAAAAACATAAGAAAACGCAGATAAAAAAAATTCAATTCCTTCTTTAAAAAGAAAACAAACAACATAACACTTCTTCAGTTAATTCTACCAGCATGTGAAACACAACAAAGCAACCAACGCGTCTCTTTAAGGGTAGGCTAAAAGCAGTCGTATGCAGCCTGATGTCGCTTTTATTTGATTTGCCAGTAAAAGTGGTCATAGTGTGCCGCGCGGTCGGCGGCACAAACAGACAAAGATAGAAATCAAACTCGTCTTTTTATTTTATAACGTTTAATGAGGAAAGATACGGCGGCGGCAGATAGCAGCTGTTAATCATAATGGCCGTCAGTGTAACCGCGGATTTGCAGCAGACAGGAAGTACGGGTCGGTTTTTAAGCTAGCTGTTTCCAACTTTTATAAATCCCGCCGTCTATGAGCCCCGACCAGGTGCGTTACATTCACATACACATTAACCCGACTCGAACACGTAGAAGCCATGAATAAACTGGGAAAAAAAACAACTTTTCCGTCACGTCGCCTTCAAATGATTAAGTGACGTAGTTGAAAAGGGTCAATATTTCAGTTAATATTGACCAATTAATAAATTATTAGTGAAATAATTTATTACTGGTGATTAAATAAAACTTAGAAATGAATAAAAGTAGGTGATATTTGTGTGCTCACCGCATATTTACACTGCCGGGATCGGATACCGTACTGGAAGCGGCACTGCTCGTCTGCGTCGTAGGCCTGACCCGGGGCGGTGGTGGGGTAAACAAACTCCTGCTTTGGCGGCATGTTGTTCAGACAGGAGCCCAAACCTGAGCTGCAGCACATCAAGCAGAGGAGAAAAATATAAATGCTAATCATAAAATAAACAACAAACATAAACCCTGTTCCGATGTGACATTTTATTAAAAACAGGAGCAGTCTGAATATATAAACCATCAAACATGTTCTTACATTTTTTCCTGCACTCCAGTAATTAGCTATGTATTTCTAGGAAGGAGATATCTGATGGGCTCACTCACTCCAGGAAGCTGGTGATGTAATCCCGGCTGCAGGCCGACCAGATGAACGGGTTTGTCTTCATGGTGATGTGGTCAGCCATCAGCTTTGCGGTCTCCTGGCTGCGCGGCCCGCAGGCGTTTCCCATCCCGTCATGGTTCATCCCAAACCTAAAGCCCATGATCACACAGGGACAACACTTTGAGGCCAAGCAGACGGCTAATAATCCCTGCAGCAGCAGCGGGGAGAAAACCGGCCTCTGTGGATAACCGAGAGGAACTCCAAGAACATTAGCATCAAAAATTAAACTCTGCAACTTTGACATTCCACCAAAAGGGAACGAAACAGAATATTAAAGAATCTGTTGGAGGATATCTTCTGTTGGACAGACTAGACATTGGCCTGCAAACTATTCAAACCCTTTGCACATTACAAACACTAACCTGTTCAAGGAAGCATAAAAGGTCACTTTAAAGTCCATCCATAGACGTCCATTGTTACTTCTGTGAAGACTGTGCTGCTGTGCGATATCTACGTTTTTCTTCTGCAGATGAGGATCGCTTTGGGTTCATACACCCAGAAGATTTATTGCGGTTTTATTTAACAAATTATATGATCAACCATGTAGAAAAAAAACAAACAAAACAAAACAGAATCAATCATCAAAACCTGCTGTGTGAACGTAGACTCAGTCTACCTTATTGCTGAAAGTGGGAAAGTTTAAAGCATTTTTAGATTAAAAAACAAAACCCAAAATTTTAAAGAAGACATGGAGCGCTGTTCAGCCTTCGATGAGAAAAATGAAAATCCACAAACTGACCGTTACGGAAGAGGGGAAACAAAAATCTGTTTGTGAAAGAAAGTTGGAGGAAGCGCTGTTCAGTTTGCTACAAGCAATTAGAGATTTTCTACACAAAGTACAACAATTTTATCGTTTTTGTTTTCAGCATCAAATATTCAAGAATCTGTTTAACGCATTGGACCAGTTGATGGATCCACCATCTGTTTCAATACTTGTTAATGTGGTTTGCCAACAAGTGAACAGGGAAATTAAATTTGTGAGCAGTAAATAAAGTAAAATAAAGCCGAGTTAACAGGCTGAGAGAAGAGATGTTATTTAGGATGTATTACCAACAGATGTGGAGAAAATTGAGGGCACTCGTTACACTAAAAGTCAATGTTTATTGCAGTAAACCCTGGAAATTAGGAAAAAACATTTGATTTGAGTAGATTTACATTTTAGGATGTGGTAGACCTGATGGAACCATGAAAACACTCCAGCAGAAGGAGAAGCTCCAGCTATCGTTTGCTAGCTTAAGCTTATGTAACCTTGGTTAAGCAGCAGAACAATTTTGGAAAGGAGAATACATATAAAGCTTTTACAATGACCTAATCAAAGTCTGAATTTAAATCAAATCAATGAGTGGTGGCATGACCATAAACAAGCCTTTTAGTTACTGAAAAACATTCAACATGGCTAATTGCAGTAATTTACACAGACACAACTTGTAGATTTAGTTTAATTAAGAGTTTTGTTCACCACAATGTAGCCTGCCATGAATCCTAATGCTAGCTGACAGCAGATAAATGTTTTCCTGGAACTGAAAGTTGTTTCTCCGCCTTTAGGACATTGAGCGGCATACAGGAGAATGATTGACGGCGCTTAGACCCTCCTCCCAGCTCTGATTGGTTGTTTTTTACCAGGAGCAGGGAATTTTTGCAGACTGCAATCAGACCCGGCAGGTTAAAGTTCAAGTAAATGTAAACTAGTATTTTGAATAACAACAATGCTAGTATCCTATTTTGCTAACAAGCTTAATATCATTAGCATTAGCTCGTCATCATTTAGCTAACATTACCTGAATTCAACCACATTAAATCAACTCACTTGGTTTGTTTGGGAGAAAAAAACTCCTTAAAGATCTTTTGCTGGTTTGCTGCCATGTTTCTAACACACGCTACGTACACATAGCAGCATTTCTCAGTCACTGCTGTACATTTTAGCGCTCATGTTGCGTTTAAAGGCGGCTCGGAAAAACAAATTACAACATGTTAACAACGGCTGCTGTAAAAAAGTGAGAGGGACAACGGGCAGAGTAAGAGGAGTGCGGGAACCCTTACTGTATCTAATTGAGATAGGAATAACAGACAGATGACCACTCATCTGTTTAAAAATAAACGAACAACTTCCAGTCATGACATAGTAACAGTTTTAATTAATATGGAATAAACATATTTTGTGAAAGTTACATACACCCAGAACAAAATAAAAACCATTTGCAGGTGAACGAGTGACTTACGTGTGACCGATCTCATGGGCGATGGTGAAGGCTGTTCCCAGACCGATGTCTTCGTTGATGCTGCAGCTCCTCTCTGGCTCACACATCCCTCCCACCGGAGCTAGACCTGACAAACAGCAACATGGATTCAGACACACAGATTCACCATACAATGAATCTCACTCCACATGCACAACACATCTTCATGTTAATTACAGTCGCAGATAATTTCCGCCGCCATGAAGACCACAGGAGAGGCCGATAATTAGCTTTAATTCATGAGTCAAACCTAGCATGCTTTATGGGTCAGAGTTGGGCTAATCTTGTGGGGATGTGGTGCTCAGTGTACCCCACAAGAGGCACAGCCTGTGCTCTGTGTCTCTGTGGATTATGAATGGGTGCAGATCGCACGTCTGTGAGTGAACGTTACCTAGAGTTTCACAGGGCTTGTTTTTCTGGATGCAGATGTCGTACCTGGAGACGAGACAGAACAGTTTTTTAAAAATGTGCAGTTTTTTGGGTGGAGGTATTCAAAAGTACTCTTGTTAACATGCTGATTAAGGGCAGATCTATTCATTATAATTGCTTATAATATGCTTTGTGCTCTGAGCGATGTCGTGTTTTATTACTTATTTTTTTACATTATATTTTGAGTTCCTAACTGCACTTTCTGAACCATTTGAAAAGAAGATTGTTGCAGTTTATTTTACATGTTTATGTCAGTTCAGCTTCTTTATTTATTTTACACTAACTGTTTTACTCATAATTACACTGACTGAGCAAATTAGAGTTGTGTTGTTTTTGTGAATGTAAGATTTTATTTCTTCCAAATATTCCAAAAACAGAACTAGAAGAGGTCCAAGAAGAGGTTTCAGCTAACAAAATGCTTTTATTAACTGAATAAAAGCATTTCAAGCTTTTATTCAGTTAATTCTGATGGTTTTGGCTTCTAGATAAGTTTCTGGGAAAATTTTAACATAATATATGCAGACCCCACACATTCTGGACAGAGGCTGTTTTGACTTCTACTTTGAGTATAAAAGTCTGTAGAGTGATTTTAAAAATAAAACAAACTGAAAGTATGTGGACAAATTGTTTCTTTACCTTTAACTGATTTAATATAAACCTTATATTCTTACACATAATCTCTGTATGCTTTAATTCCTTCTTTTTGCACATAGTTTTACCCAATACAACTGATACTGAACAGTGTCCAGCATTTTCACAGACAGTGACTGATTAAACTTTTCAAGGACAATAGACGGAAGCCATTGATGGTCACTGAGGAGTCATCTGTCTGGACAGCTTCCACCCTTTGCTTGATAAAAGCGTCTGCAAAAAACAAAACTGTTCCCGTAAAGCCAATTTAAAGGACAGACCCTTCAGTACACATGCGTCAAACTTAAAGCCCCCAGGCCACATAAATAGGGCCTTGAAAATAACCGTTGTGTGCTTCAATAATATTTTATCAATCAATTGAAAGCAGTTTTCAATGGAAGAGGATTAGGGCCACAGAAAAAAAACATCAGAATTTTTTTCTAACAGATTTGACTATTTTTTCCTTAAAATTTTGACTTTCTTTTTAATTTACCAGAATTATTCTGACTTTATTCTTTTAAGATCAAAAGTCAAAATTCTGGGGAAAAAAAGTACAAATTCTGGGGGGGGGGGGGTGTCAAAATTGTAACTATTTTTCTCAGAATTTTGACTTTTGATCTCAGAAGATTAAAGCCAGAATTTTTTTTCCAGTAGCCACAATCTTCTCCTGTAGTTTTCATATATACTCTGCCAAATTACCGTATTTTCCGGACTATAAGGCGCACCAGATCATAAGGCGCACCCTCAATTATCACGCCATAATTGAGAGTGTGCCTTATAATACGGTGCGCGTTATAGTCCAGAAAATACGGTCCTATAGTTGCCTGGCAACAAAAAGTGTCTGGGTTTGAATCCTGTCTATGGTTCTGCTTGTTCTCACAGAAGACGGGTGATTTCAAAGATCTGTTTAGAAGGGAAATGCATTTTCTCTAATGTATTCATGAGACTGTGGAAAAACAGTTTCTCAGACAACAGCTGAGAGTTTTTTTCTGATTCCTGTAAAACACCTGCGATTTTCCTCAGAGATTAAGAAAAAACAAACACATCCTGCTTTGCTTTGGATAGCTTTTTGCGGTCTCATTCTTGGCAACTCTTTTCCTTTTCATTTGCAGAGTTGCTTTAATTCACCAACATTAGCAGGTTTTTAGCATGCAAGGCCTGTTTAAAGTCAGACCACAGCACTGTATGCAGATTTAACCAACAACCTTTACTTAAAACTATTTTTTGAGACATTGAAAGGTGGATTCAGATTATCATCCTGCCGCAAAACCCAAGCTTAAGGCCACATATTGACGACCAGACATTATTCTTTGAGATATTCATTTAACGAGCAGAACTTGTGATACCATCAGTTATGGGAAGAGGCAGCAAAACAGCCACAGACCAAAACACTGCCACCATCATCTTTAATTAAAGGGGCAGTAGACTACCAGAGACACAATTAAAGGATACGCTCTGAGATTTAGTACGTCAAAAAAATAAAGTGCATTAAAGCTTTTAACACAATAAAATCTATGTGATTAAATCATCAAAATTAACATGCTGAAGGGGCAGTATTATGATTTCCAGGAATATAGTGCCTTTTTATAGCACAGTAAAGTAACTGTTCTACATTTAGTTGTTATAAAAATGCTGTATGTATAAAATATGACTTAAAAGGAATTTGACTTCGTAATTTAACGCCTTGAAATTGGGCCTCTGTCTCTTTACAAACTCAGGAAGTCATCATCACATGGCTCTTCTATTAGACCTTTAATAACGTTTTTACCAGAGTTTCACTGAGAATTAGCTCCTATAATGAGTTCAGCAGATGCACAGTTCCACCAGGTGTTAGCTAATTGCTGCTGGCTAGTCTGAAGGAGCTGAGTGTTTGGAAACAGCAGCTTCAAGGAGGAGCTGCGTCTCAAAGGCGGAGCTGCGTCTCAAAGGCGGAGCTAGATCCAACCAGGCGTTTTGAACAGTTGAATGGTTGCCATGGAGATGAAAGGATTTCTCAAACATGCATGGAAGGATCAAGGCAACACTCCAGGTATGTTTTTGACGAGGGAACAACATAATGAAGTAAATCTCATGTTTAAAGTCCTGGTTGATTCATGAGTCGAGATGGTTCCGTTTCACATTTCCTTCTGTGCTTGTCTTGCGTTACCTGGTGATGAGCACGGCGGTGTCGTGGTGAGCGATGCCGTTGTCCGGGATGGCGTTCCCGTAGCTGCTGCTGCGGTGCTGGATCGTTTTCTGCCACTTACAGAAACTGTCCAATGACTTCCCAGCATGATGGTTGATCTCCAGTGTTGGCTGGAAGAGAAGAAAGGAGGGAAACGCAAACTCAGACGCACGTCTGGAAAAATAAGGCTGTGCATTTTGCTTTGTTAAATGCAGAACAGTTGCTCCGTTCTGAGGTTATTTTCCCCTCACACTATGTTAGTCTTTCCTATCTGTTAAAACTGTGTAGATTCGCCGCATTATGTGGGAGCTGAGGGAGTGCTCTGCTGGCCACAGCTGGCGAGAACTCGTAACCCAGGAATGCATGCGGTGACATAACTGGTAATTGTCTCATCCCACAGTCCCTCATCTCTGGGCCCACTCATGGCATCGTTTTCCCTTTCCAGGCACAGCTTTGACTTTCTTTTCGGACTTGGAAACCTCTTGCAGAAACCCCTGCTCTGCTTGTGCAGAGCAAAACTGGCGAACCCACCCTACCCCCTCACAGAAAAGCTAATATGCCGCTAATGAGACTAACATTTACATGTTCGCTCATTTAGATAACAAACACATCCGGGCGGGAGGCTCCAGAAATTATTTTAAGGCACGATGAATCATAAATGTTCCTAAACAAGACAGCTAAGGAGGAAACCTCAAAGCCACTGCGTAATACCCGAAGGAGCGGGCCGAGGAGTCCCACCACATGCTGTTAATGGCTAGCTAATACAGTCATTTACAAGGCAGGCAGGTGGTTCAGTCATCTCCAGAGCTACACTGGTAAGGTCATGGACTTTTATGAGCTGAACTCCTGCCCTGTGGCCGTCGGTCTCTGGCTTACATCATGCAAGCAGCTCAGTGAGGCGGTTTTTAGTCCCGGTGCTTCTTCTGGAGGTGCATGCTGACCTCAGCTGGATTAAAAATCAAGAACATGCTTTCCTTGGTAACATTTTTAGTTTACAATCAACACTAAAATCAGCTTCTGCGAACGCGGAACCTTGAAAAAGCAAGCATTTCACAATTTCCTCTGAAATAGAATAGTTGGTCTACTTTCTAGTACAAATATCTTATAGTTGAGAAAAATCTAAACAAACTTACAAATACATTTTCATAAAGATATAGAAGCTTGTTTTAAGTCAATAATTCTTTAATATATAAATTTATGTTTTTTGGTTTTTTGCTTCAAAAACCTTCCACATGTCACAAGTTACCTAGCAACCCAATCAAAGCCCAGCCCCGTTACCTAGCAACCCAAGCTGAGTTCCAGAACAATTTTCTGCTGGTTTTTTTTTCAGCTGGTTTTTCTGCTTTTCAATGGCTGCTGGAAAAGACGAGTGTTTTGTTGTTGTCTTACCATTCAGAAACCACTTGCTGCATTGTTGTTTGTTGTGCAGGAGGCTCTACTTTTGCTTTTTAAAGATGTATGGTTGTATCTCTTTGCAGCCATTTTCATGTGCAAGTGGAAATGTTGAGTTGGGGCGAGAGTGGCCAGCAACAGCTTATTTAGATTTAAAGTGACAGAACAGTTTGTTCTGAAAGGAGCTCAATAGGCAGAACTGAGCACACTAAAATCTCATCATCAAAAAAAATGTGCTGAACATGTTTTGTGTAGCCCATAGATCTATCCTAACCTGTATAAGAAAGCATAAAACAAAGCGAGGCTGTTTGAAGGCAAAATATAAAGGAACATGAGATTACTGTACCACACAGAGTAGTGTGGAACAGAGTATTTAAATCCATCTCGTAGCTGTTCTACGTCCTGGGAAAGCGTCTGAGAGCTGCCTGTTTTCCACAGCAACATACACGACAGTCACAAGGCAGCTCTGTGCGACAGGTACAAAACTCCCCTCACTGCCCGACTTTTTCCACCTCCGTTCAATCCTCTCTCTCTCTCTACTTACCGTCCTTACATCCACTCATTCCCGTCACTACAGCCGCCATTCATAACAGTCACACACACACACACACACACACACACACACACACACGAAGGTCGCTGGGGGGGGGGGAGGAAACAACACTCAAGCCACTAATTTACACAGAGATTTATGAGGACAAACTCAGACAGAGACATGCAGCTGTTGACCGACCTGGTCTTCCATGAGCAGGATGAGTCGTGTCACCACGATGTTGACTGCATTCCCCAGGCTAGAATCATGGAACAGTTTGGCAACCTGACCTCCAGGGAAACAAGAAAAGACCAGTCTTAAAAACGGCCGACGCACCGGCAGACCTCAGCACAGCTCAGACCAGACAACAACGGGACAGAAAATAACGACACAACGGTCCACTTTAAACTAGGGCTGAAATGATTAATCACAATTAATCGATTATTGAAACCATCGTCAACAGATATAATAATCAACTAATCATTAACTGGAATATACATACTCTAACAAAAAGGCGATTTTCTGAAAAAACAACACAATCAGAGTCAAAGCTGTACATATATGTATATATACAATTTGCATTTAAGATAATAAATAAATAAAATTAAAAAACTAAATTATTTAGCTGTGTCCGAATTCAGGGTCTGCATCCTTCGAAGGACGGATTTGTAGGCCGATTACATCATAGCGTGGCGACAAGGCCTGTCCGAATTCAAAGACTCCTTCAAATGCGTCCTTCTTTTCCCCAGATTTGAAGGATGGGTCCGGTGTATCCTTCACGGCCCACGATATCCCATAATTCATTGCGGGTTCCAACTGGGCATTCAGGCAGAGCGATAATGGCGGTGAATAGCAACAAATTATTTAGCTTTATAACACTTTAAATGACACAACGTGATTTGGTACAACGTTTTTAGGCGAGAATGTAAGTGTGTAAATCTCAAATATCTGCTCGGTTCATCAATACATCACCTAATTGCAATATTGCTCTGACATTTTCGGACCTGTCTGCTACCGCTGCGTTAACAGCCAGCGCCGGGCGCTCCAGGTTCGGTATACCGAGAGAAAACGCCTAACTCCTGGCACATTGTTATAAAAACTCCCGCTAGCTTTCCCCAATGAGTGGGAGTTAAACACCGATATTATTCAGACAGGTCTGGTTGAAAAATGTTTGGTTTATAAAGTATTTCAAAGCAGAGCACATCGGTTTGATTAATTAAAGTTAAGCCTTCAAACATAATAGGTTTATTTAACCGTAATGTCCTATCTGCGATGTGGAGAGTATTATATTTGTAAATGAATAATTTGTATTCCTTGTAGAAAAGTGCAGTACACATTTGAACATTTTAGAATCAAACTAAGAGATTTCCTTTTTACTATGGAACATCCTTCACTATAAAAGTTGAAGACTAATAGAAATCAGTAATACATGACTGAAAAACAAATTTCGGCTCCGTCGTTTTTTTCTTTTTCTTCTCCGCTCTCTGCTTCGCGCTGTCACGGTTGCTTGGCAATATGAGTTATGCTGAGGTGGGGGCGGGGACAGTTGGTGAAGGCTAGACCTGTCCGAATCCATAGATATTTTTCTTCCGGTCTTAGTTTATTCCCGGCCTTCGAAGGACCCGTCCTACGTAGACCAGTCCTTCGAAGGATGCAGACCCTGAATTCGGACACAGCTTTTGTGCTTCCTTCACATTAAATCGGAAGATTTATTCTTCTTGTGTGCTTAATCTTCTCTATGCCTCCAACGC